ATAAACTGACAATTCCCTCCACCAACATTAACTACTCCCACCTAATGATACGCCGTCACGGGAGAGTTTTTCTTTTGGTTTAAAAATGAATCTACTACAAGGAGCCGAGGAATGAGACACAGCCCCGCCGTTACCGATGCCCTCTAGAACTCTTTATCTCAGGAAACAAACTGAGGCTTGCTGGAGGGGAGGGGAGGTAGGGAGAGGATGACTGGGTGATGGACACTGGGGAGGGTCTGTGCTATGGTAAGTGCTGTGAAGTGTGTAAGCCTGATGATTCACAGACCCATATCCCTGGGGCTAATAATAGATTTTATGTTAATAAAAACAAACATTCAAACAAACAAAAAAATAGGGTATAAGCATCCCAAGCAGAAGGAACAGCAAATGCAGAAGCTATGAGGGAGCAAAGAGTCTGGTGTTTTTGGAGGAACAGATAGGAGGCTGGGATGGCTAAATGAGTAAAACGTTCTCAGTTATGCAGCCCGAACCCTAACTGAGCCACCCAGGCACCCCACTTTACCCCTTCTCCTAAGGAGTTTAGCCTGAGCTCATAACCCATCCAATTTCAACAGATCTTTTCATCAATCAATTTCAACAATCAACAGTTAAAAAACCCACTTTGGGGGAGTCTGGGTGGATTAGTCGGTTAAGCGTCTGCCTTCCACTCAGGTCAGGATCCCAGAGCCCCAGGATCAAGCCCCCTGGGCTCCCTGCTCAGCTGGGAGTCAGCTTCTCCCTCTCCCTTTGCCCCTGCTCTCTTTCGCTCTCTCTCCCTCACTCTTTCTCAAATAAAATCTTAAAAAATTTTTTTAAAAATCCCTCTAAACAAAAGGAGTAAAATATAACATGAATATGTTAAATCAAACTCGAGAATTAACTAGAGATATTTTATAGGCTATATTAATTGGCCAATTTTCTTTTAATTTATATTTCTTATAAAACTCAGAATTCAGGGGCGCCTGGGTGGCTCAGTGGGTTGGGCCTCTGCCTTCAACTCGGGTCATGATCCCAGGGTCCTGGGTTCGAGGCCCATGTCAGGCTCCTTGCTCAGTGGGGAGTCTGCTTCTCCCTCTGTCTGCTGCTCCCCCTGCTTGTGCTCACTCTCTCTCTCTCTCTCTCTCTCACAAATAAATAAACTCTAAAATTTAAAAAAAAAAAAAAGGTTCTCCATTGGCTATTCTTCCACTATTGTTGAAGATGTGAGGATGTGAGGCTGAGACAGCTGCAACCATCTTGTCACCTGTGAGGCGCATCTGAGAACCAACTCCAAGGAGACAGAACAGAAGACTGACAAAACTAGGGGCGGCTGGGTGGCTCAGTGGGTTAAAGACTTTGCCTTTGGCTTGGGTCATGATCCGGGGGTCCTGGGATCAAGCCCCGAGTCGGGCTTTCTGCGCAGTGGGGGGCCCGCTTCCCTTCTTCTCTCTCTGCCTGCCTCTCTGCCTGCTTGTGATCTCTGTCAAATAAATAAATAAAATCTTTAAAAAAAAAAAAAAGAAGAAGAAGAAGACTGACAAAACTAGAATCAGAGGCTGAGGGAGAGCATCTATTCTCCTCCAAGAAGCTTCATCTGGACTAAATGTGGACTTCTCAGGAACATGATTGTGCTGTACTTACTGGAATCCACTGGTAGAAGGGCTATCTGTGTTCCCATCACATACCCATGGTTTTGTCTCCTGTGGGACAAGAAGGCTGCAGAGGCAGGGCCATTTCAGCATCATTTTTATAACTAGACTCTAGCCCCAACCCTGAATCTGGCTCTTCCAACACACTGATAACTGGAGAGAGAACCCTGGGGAGGGTCCCCATCTAGCCATCTGTAACTTCCACCTGCTTCATTTCAAGCACCAATGTCTGTGATATTAGAGGAAGCCAAAAAGAAGTAAAACAGTTACTCCTGAAAAACTCTGGAAAGGTTTAAGAACTAAAGGCACCAAGGCCAGGGTGTAAGAGGATGTAGAAGAACTGGCTGAAAATATGTATGTGATGTTGATAGACCTCCAGACCCTTTTTCTCATCTTGCATAACCACAGAGTTACTCCTCCTTGACCTCAGCAGAATATTGAAGATTTACGTTCAGAAGATGAGGGACTCTTTTAAGGGACTCTGGACTCAAGAAGACCTTCAGGAATGCCATTATGAAAGTAGAGGGATTAATCAAAAGTCAACATGCTGAACAGTGAGACCACCCCCCCCCCCCCCCACCTCAATTCTTCCTCTTGACTCTGAGACCACTGGACATCAGGTTATACCAGACCAGCGCAAGTGGAAATACTCATAGCATCTAACAGTAGCTGAGGACGTCTCCTAACAAAATGGTTAGCTCCATCACCCTATGAGAAAGCCCATTAGTCAATGAATCCCATTCATAGACATATAGAATTTCTGTCAGCTTGTTAGGTCTCTACTCATATATGATTGAGCAGCAAAAGGTCACCAATCTTGAACAAAAGGTCTCTGACTTCAAAGACAATGACCAAGAAAAACCACCAGAAAAAAATGGACTCAGAGACATTGTAGATTACAAAAGGAAAGCCTCAAAAGATGTCTCATTAAAATCTTTAGAGAGGATACACTACTTGCAAAACCAAGAGCATGATGCTATTTTAGAAAATAAAAATATTCATGTTAAAAAATATAATAAAGGGGCACCTGGGTGGCTCAGTGGGTTAAAGCCTCTGCCTTCAGCTCAGGTCATGATCCCAGAGTTCTGGGATCAAGCCCCACATCGGGCTCTTTGCTCGGCAGGGAGCCTGCTTCCCTCTCTCTCTCTGTGCCTGTCTCTCTGCCTATTTGTGATCTCTGTCTGTCAAATAAAAAAAAAAAAAACCATAATAAATAAATAAAAACAACATTCACAAAATGAGAAAATGCTGCTGGAATTTTTAAAATGGTATCAGAAATGAAAAATTAATCAGAAGAGCTGAAGATAAAGCTGAGAAAATTTTGCAAAAAGTAGTACATAAACAGAAAAAAAACACAATAAAAGAGGATTTTTTTTTAAAGAGGGTTAATCCAGAAGTTCTAACATGCTAATAATAAGGATTCTAGATAAAGGCAATGGAGAAAATAGGGGCAATTAATTACTGAAAAAAAATTCCTAGAATTGGAGAACCTGCATCTCCATTTTGAGCAGACTCGTCACTGAGTGCCCTTCCATAATTACTTTAAACACACACACATACACAAAACCCCATTTCGGGGTCTCTGAAGATAAACTAGTATTATTCAGCTTGTAGAAAGAAAAACATCAAAACATCAGCAGAAATAAGGTACTCTTCTGGATTCCAAAATGCTAATAACATAAAATCCCTGCTTTTATAGTATATGCTTATGTCAAATAATTATAACTAATTAATATTTTACATGTATTAAAATGTTTTATTTTTAATTCCTATTTTTTTAATTTATTTAAATTCAATTAGCCAATATATAGAACATCATTAGTTTCACAATTAGAGCTCAGTAATTCATTAGTTGAGTGTAACACCCAGTGCTCATCACATCACGTGATCTCCTTAATGTCCATCACCTAGTTACCCCATCCTCCTATATCCCTCCCCTCCAGCAACCCTCAGTTTGTTTCCTATAATTAAGAGTCTTCTTATGGCTTGTCTCCCTCTCTGATTTCTTCCCATTCTGTTTTTCCCTCCCTTCCCCTATGATCTACTGCACTATTTATTATAATCCACATATGAGTGAAACCATATGATAATTGTCTTTCTCTGATTGACTTATTTCACTCAGCATAATCTCCTCCAGTTCCAACCATGTCGATATAAATGGTAAGATTTCATCCTTTCTAATGGCTGAGTAATATTCTATTGTATGTATGTATGTGTGTGTGTGTGTGTGTATATATATCACATGCATTCTCATTCTTTATCCATTCATCTGTTGATGGACATCTAGGCTCATCCCATTGTTTCGCTATTGTGGACACTGCTGCTATAAACATTGGGGAGCACGTGCCCCTTTGGAGCACCACATCTGTATCTTCAGGGTAAATGCCCAGTAGTGCAATTGCCGGGTCGTAGGGTAGCTCTAGTTTTAGCTTCTTGAGGAACCTCCATACTCTTTTCCAGAGTGGTTATACCAGCTTGCATCAATGTAATAATCCCTGTCAAAATACCATTGACATTTTTCACAGAGCTAGAACAAATAATCCCAAAATTTGTATGGACCCAGAAAAGACCCTAAATACCCAGAAGACTGTTGAAAAGGGAAACCAAAGGTGGAAGCATCACAATTCCAGACTTCAAGCTCTATTACAAAGCTGTCATCATCAAGACAGTATGGTACTGGCACAAAAACAGACACATAGATCAATGGAACAGAATAGAGAGCCCAGAAATGGACCCTCAACGCTATGGTCAACTAATCTTTGACAAAGCAGGAAAGACTGTCCAATGGAAAAAAGACAGTTTCTTCAACAAACGGCGCTGGGAAAACTGGACGGCCACATGCAGAAGAAGGAAACTGAACCATTTCCTTATACCACACATAAAAATAGACTCAAAGTGGAAGAAGGACCTCAATGTGAGACAGTGTTTCCTATTTTAAAGAAACAAAACATACATGAAACACAAGGAGTTTTCAGTGCGAGTATATTTGGGTAAGTCTTTTAATAACTAAAGGGGACTGTTTGAATTTTGTACCAGAAGTTTATTTTATTGGCTTTTTAAAATAAGTAGTTTTTATTTTTTTTTTATTTTTTATTTTTTTTTTATTTTTTTTTATTTTTTATTTTTATTTATGAGGATTAGAAATATCTGTTTTCTTAGATCTCACTTAATCTTACATTTATTTATATAGGTTCAGACTATATCCTCCAGTTACTTTTCTTTCAGCATCTTAAAAAAAAACTAATAATATAAATAATGGCTAATTAAATTAACAATGAAATTAAGTTATGAGAACTTGTGTTACCTTGAAATATACCCAAACCCTTGACATTTTAAACTAATTCTCTTTCATCTCAAAGACCACACACTCACCTTGAGGATCGACTTCTTTAGCTAGCTTCAATGCATCTGAGTTTGCAAGATCGGTGTTGGCTGGGGTAACAGCCAAAATCAGACAGTTCTCCCTCGTAATGAACTGCATAATCATTTCTCTGATCTGATACTCTATATCTGGTGGCTGATCTCCCACGGGCACTTTAGTAATTCCAGGTAGGTCGATAAGCGTGAGATTTAACACTGTGTGGAAAAAAAGAGTCTTACATATACCCTCACTGCTAAAAAATAACTATGCAAAATCATCTATCTCTTTAGTGGGAAGAAAACAAGCTTAGCTTCACATATGGCATTATTGACCTAACTCCAACTGTGTGTTGAGTAAAAAGCATAGACTACAAAATGGCTTTGTTAGTTTTCTCTATTTTTAAGATACGATTGTGCTATACCAAATGATCGTTTTAACCCAATTTTGCAAGCTACTGATTTGTACAGCTAAGAGAGAGCTGTCATATCTGTAACTAGTGTGTTATAATTCAAAACCGAACAAGAAATCCATATGCTGTCTGCTGGTCTTGTACGTTGCCCTCAATGGTATAAAATTCTTAAGGGCAAGATTTGTCCTTCATTTCAAAAGCATCATATGCTCTCTGGAGGGGGGTCAGACACTTAGCCTATTGGAAAGCTGTGAGCTGTGAGGTTCCCGTGTAGGCTCTGCAGCCAGACTCATGGTGCACCACCAGGAGAGCAGGAAACTACCCCTGCATTGGGGACTCCAGCCGCGACCTGGCTATCATTCAGCTGGCACCAAAGCCTCTTGGAATGTCATAATTGAGCTTATGTCATTCGTGCTCCATTTTCAAAGCAACAGAGCTGAGTAGAAGATGAGAGATTAAAATCTGCCCCACTAAAAATTTAGTCAGAAGAGAGGCTATTCCATAACACATCCCATAAATTGGCTATCTAATTTGTACGTTTCTGCTAATAGTCTGGAAAAAAATCATCATTGATTCCTCAGGAGGAGAATAAACGAAATATATGGGGGAACGAAAAAATCCAATAGGAGAAGACTCAGCCACAGAACCATGTGCCTCTAAGATTCTTGCTAAAACTGAAGATGTTTAAAAAATGGAATTTTTTGTGCATACCTCTTGACATTCTAAAAGTTTAAAATAAACATAAAGAAACATTTTTAAGTGATGTACTTAATTCTGACCTTTTAAAAAGTCAGGTCCTCCTGCCTCCTCATAAATCTGTGAACTTTTTGGACCCGTCCATTTATTGTAGTACTACAATAATAACACAATCCTAGAAACCCAGTACTTTCTGAGAGAAAAATCATCTTCTATACAAATAACGTATGTCAAGTAACGTAAAAATTTTTGAAGACAAAAAATGTGGAATCCTGTTATTTTACTTACCATGTGGAGAATAGACTCGTAAATTAATGGGTATGGCGGAAATGCCTTTATTCATTCCAGTCACTCGATCTGTTTCTGCTTCAATCTCATGACGAACTTCATCAAAATCTGTAAATTTTTTTCCTTTGCAATGTAGAAATTCAGCATATTCTACAAAAGACAAATTAACACAATTTACAATCCATGCACTCTTGCAATAATTATAAGGAAACAACATTTCTTTACCTACAAGTCAAAGTAGCCATTTTGTCTCCTCAGCCATTAAAATGAGAGAATACAGCAGTTACTAAGAAACACAGTGAATCCTTTAGAAATATTAAACACAGTACAAATGCTAAGAATGCTAAATTTACTAATTTTCAGATGAGCAATTAAGTAGTAAAAGCAGTCTTTAAATCATCCTGTCTGTTAAATAATTTAAGGAGAATTTTGGCCTTCCAAATGATAAAGCAAACAGCATCAGATTGTTAAAGAAATTAAGTCTGGGGTACATACAACGTCCACCTAATCCTATCAGCATGTCCTTTCTCAATATCACCACTTTATTAAGAGAGAATTCTAAGTTATATAAACGTAGCTTCAGAAGCCAAGACAATTCAGAAACAAAATGTACTTAATTCTTTAAAAAGAAATAATATACGGAATATCTTAGCTTTAAAATATACTATTCAAGATACCACATCAACTTGTATTGTTAAAAAGACAATTGCCCAAGCAAAAAGAATTTTAGATCAAAGAAAATACCTATTTCCAATCTGAAAAAAAATCAGTGTTTGAGGAAGTAGGAAAAACTATATATATTAACAGAAAATTAGATTAAGTTTCAATAACATCTTACTCACTGTTGTACTATCGATTTCTATTCCTGCCTTCAGATGTATCAAGTATAGAACACAACCCAAAAAGGAAACTGATACTATTAGACTTTAAAAAATTATAATCTTAACAAGAGAATGAATCTTAAGAAATATTTTCATTTTTCTAATAACTAGCTGAAGAATTGCCACACCGAACTTAGACTAAGGCTAAGCGTCTGGAGCCCGGATGCTGGCAGAGCCAGTTCCTGGCGGTCTTTGCACCATCTCCACCATCAACACTTAACCTTCAGCCCCTGTGGTAAAGCCAACAGGGAGACAACTATAAGATGTCTTCAAGCATTTTAGCATCAGTTAACACAGGCAGCATGAAATGGCGCTGATCTGTATTTAAAGAAAAAGGAAAAGACAGAGATAAGAAAGATGGCTTCAAGCTGCAGTGCCTAAAAAAGAAAACGAAGTTTGAACTGGGTCCTGAAGAGTGGGGAGTGTTTCAGTGTGCAGACAAAGGAAGGTCTTTGAGGATATCCGAGAATTTTAACAGCCCTACACACCCTGGGCCAACTATCATCCAGCCCCTGTTCAGAAATATCCACTGATAGAAAACTGAGGCTTTGGTGTCCAGGAATAAAACTGTTATTGGGGGGGGGGAAAAAAAAAACTTTTTTTTTTTTTTAGATAGGCTCCATGCCCAGCATGGAGCCCACACAGGGCTTGAACTCACGACCCTGAGATGGAGACCTGAGCTGAGATCAAGAGCCCGACGCTTAACCAACTGAATCATCCAGGCACCCCAGAAAATATTTAACAAAGTCTGAAATCTGCTTTCTGATCCTATTTCCGTGGTCCAATTTGGCCCCCTGGAACTACTCAGACAAGGTCTTCTTCCCTGTAAAAAGGCCAGGCTGGATCTACGTGCTTGCACAAGGAGCCCATCTTCCTCCCGGGCTTCTCTCGCCAGCTTCCCGTGCTAGTCTCATCCATTGCGCAGGCCTCCTCGTGGCCAAGGTCATGGCTTCTGAAGTGGACCAACCAGTTTATGCTTTAATTTCCCAAAGAACTGCAATAACCTAATGTTTCAGCTGTTAGAACGACAGAGACTTTTCTTCATTTCAGTCTTTCCTATCAATGTAGATAGACATGAATAGTTTTCGTTCTTAGTTTTTTCATACAAAATGCGTCATTCTCTGAAAAATGGCAAGCTAAGACTCCCACAGTTCATTCCTCAGTAGTGCAAGTATACACCGTAAAGCTTCAGCAGGCTTCAGAATTCTGGCCAGAAGTGACGACTGCATCTTCTGGCATGTTCTTTCCCATGTTTACACTCACAGGTGCTGTTTTTATTGGCATCTAAATTCCCAGAAGATACAGCCTTGATTTTATTTACCTAACCCAGTGGATTAGCCAATATCATGGAAACATAAGAGTTTAAGGATAAGCAGGAGATAAAACAATATGAAAAATAAGGAGGAACAAAGGCTGTCAGATCCCAGAAAACAAAAATTAACACATAAAAAGAGTCATAAGTAATTTATAAGAAACGGAACTGTACTTTTTCAGTTCAGTATATTTTGTGGAAAATGCATACTTGAGAACTTACAGCTATCATAAATATTACTCTTATAAAAGCAAGGAGGTTCTGGATCAGAGACTACATTTTCAATTATGCTGCCAATCAATAATTCAAGTAACACAACTGTCGATTTCTCTCTGCGCCACTAGATGGCGCCTACTTGCTTTCTCTGTAGGAAACCAATGCCCTTCCAGAATGCTGCAAAATCAATGCAATTTTCAAATTAGATTCAAATTCATTCTTGGTCTCCTAAAAATGCTTTTATTTTGAAATTGAGAAATTAGAATTGTGAAGGGCCATCTCAAGCCTCTGCGTCTTTTATAAGGACAGGATCCCGCAGAGAGATTTAAAGATGCTGGTGTTCATTTATTTATCCAACTAACATTTTCGAGCTCTTACTATTCACTACACACTATTTTAGAAATTGCAGAGAAGAGGGACGCCCGGATGGCTCAGTCAGTTAAGCGTCTGCCTTCAGCCCAGGTCATGATCCCAGGGTCCTGAGATGGAGCCCCACAGTGGGCTTCTTGCTCAGCCTGGGAGCCTGCTTCTCCCTCCGCCTGCTGTGCTCTCTCATCTCTCTGACAAATAAAGTCTGAAAGAAAGGAAGGAAGGAGGAAGAAACTGCAGAGGAGAAAAAAATAAGTCTAACCTGGTGAAGCTTAAATTCGAATGAAATGAAAGAGTCAACAATGCAGGTGTGCCAGACGAGAAATGCTCCGGAGACAATGGAATGGTAGGGGGGATATTAAATGCTAGGGCAGGAGGACTGGTTTGTTACATGTTTTGATTGAGAAAAGCTGCTCTGATATGACAAAGTGACATCTGAGCAAAAGCTGAAGGGAAGAAGGGAGGAAGCAATGCTTTATATAGGAGCAACCCAGCAGAGTGCCTGAACCCGGAAGCATATGGGAAGGACAGCAAAGCCGACGGGCCTGGATGACAGAGTATATGGGAGGAGGGGCGGGTGATGGGGTCAGAGCTGTGGTGCAGACCTGAACTGTGTCCAGCCTGCGGGACTTTGATTTTTACTCTGAACAAATGGTGGACAACTGGAAAGGCTCGGCGTAGAGCGGGTAGACGTGATGCAGCCTAGGCTTTGAAGAAATTACTGTGGCTGCTGTGCTGAGAACAGACACCGAGAGTAAGACAGGGAGCTGGCTACTGAGAGTGGAGGTGAGAGATGATGGGGCTTGGACCAGGGTAGCAGCAGTGGGAGTGGTGAGAAGTGGCTAAATTCTCATGTGTTTTGAAGGAAAAACCAATAGGATTTGCTGATGATTGAAGGTGGGGTACTGGAGAAAGACAGGAGAGTCAAAAAACAACTTCCTGGAGTTTGACCTCAGCAATGGGGAGAATTTTGAAATAGGAAAGACCGAAAGGAAGAGGTTGGGGAGCCCGGGGGAGGCGATTGGGAATCAGGAGTCTGGCTGCAGACCTATGACGCTGTACTGCCCACTCCATGCTTACCGCCAAGTGGAGAAGCAGATCTGCTGCGAAGGGTTGAGGATTACACAGCTGTAAGAGATACCTCACATTCAGTCATCTGTTAAGTGTTTATTTACTCTGAAATTTTTCCACAAGAGGGCAGTCAAGCGCTTGAGGAAAAGGGCAGCTTTTTCTAATTAGCACAAAAATGCCTTTGGGACTAGATACATTAGCCTTTCATCCAGGGAGAAGTCCAGACTAGAAATATATATTTGGAATAGATTAAAGTCAGGCAAGGGGATGAGATCACTTAGTGAGAGAGTTAGTTGGGGAAGAGCACTGGGCCCTGGGTGTTCGGTGTTTAGAGGTCAGGAGAGAGTGAGGAGGAGTGGTCCCCAGGATAGAGGAAACGGAAGAGGTGACCCAAAGCCAAGTAGAAAGGGCTTTTCGTGAAGGTAAGAGACTTCCACTCCATCCAATGCTGCCAACATGTTAAGGCAGATGAGAAGTAAGAATTAATCATAGAATTGGGCGATCTGAGAGTCCTTCAGGAGGTGACAAGAGCTGCTACAGGGGAGTGAGGAAGTCTGATTGGAACAGATTAGGAAAGAAGGTGAGAAGAGGAAGTGGAGACTGATGGAGGACAATTGTTTAAAGTGTTGCGGTAAAGGAGAGGAAAGCAGTGAGAGGGCAGCTGGGGAGATGGGGAGGAGTGAAGTCGGGGAGGGCTCCTTGAAGATGGGCAAACTGATAGCATGGTTCCGGCTGATAGCATTAATCCAGAATAAAGCATAAGGTGACAATGCAGAACTGAGAAGAAAACAAGTGGTGAGAGATCTTAAGGTCAAGGGGACAAGACACAGGAGAAAGGAGCAACCCAGCTCCTCTGTAAGAAGAGAAAGGAAATAGAACACTGAGAATTGACAAGACAAATCGGTAGCACTGGCGGTGGAGGGAGCACGCGGAATTCACCAGCTGAGAAAAGGAGTTTATGGTATTTGTCCCAAGCCATTTTATGCCTCTAAAAAACATTTCTGCATATATTCTCACTAGTTAAACCCTACAAATATTATTATTTCTACAACCAGATACATCACACACACACACACACACACACACACACACACACACACACACTAAGTGACCTAAGAGTAACCATAGGAGGAACGTCAACTAGGTCTAATCTGCGTCCAGCATTCGGAAGAACCAATGGGGCAGAAACCACAAAATCCATTTCTTTATGGTCCCAAAGAGCCTCTTAGAAAGCAAGTCAGCCTACAGGATGGAATTCAGGCAACACATGCTCTGACTTGTCAGAAGGCAGCGACCTATTC